ACAGAACTGATTGCGTTGACTGAAGGTGCTCCCAGATGGGGCATTCGAGTAAAGTGGTTGAAAAGGATTCTCATTTCTTCAGTTGATCCGAAATTTTACAAGAGGTACGCGTTGCATGAGTGCTCCTACTGAGCATCAACTCAGATTTCGGGAGAGGAAGTGATTTGCTTGCAGAACTGAAGGCTTCCCTCCCTGGCTGAACTTTGTGGTGTAGTGAGGTGAGGAACTGACGCTCTCGGCAGAATTGGAGCTTTTTTGGAGAAGTTGTCTCGGTAAATATGACCTGAATTTGAACAAGAATTTTGGAACGATATGTGTTTGAGTTGCCGGCTTTTTGGGGGTTGTCGGCTTGTCTGTTTTTGGGGCTTGCGCGAAAAGTGCAGTTCACCAGAAATCTATAACCCCTGTTTTCCTGGGCCTAGATTATTCAAATTGTGCAGAGATGCAGGCGGCAAGATGGGAAAGCTAATGGTAGGTGACAGGTGTAGACTACGCTCGCTGGGGGCATGGCCCCCTCAAGAATAGATAACATGGACCTAGAGCGTTCAAATTTGGCAGAGATGTAGGTGGCAACATAGGAAAGCTAATGACAGGTGACAGGTGTAGATTCCGCCCGCTGGCGGTGTGATTTGCGCAAAAATAGTAAGTTTGGACCTGCTTATCATGATATTCGCGTAAAATTCATCAAACAATATATTGCCCAACGAGATAGTCGATTGGTATGCTCAAATGTCTACTACGACGGGTGCAGGTTAATAACCGAAACACGGATGAATTCCCATTTCATCTCCAGTAAAGTACAGGTATTCCCCAATGGAAAGGGTGAACAATAAATTAGATTATTTCAAGATCTCTTTTTTTGGAATGTCTCGGTTAGTATATGGATAAACAAATGTATGTGAATCGAAAAAGAATAACGCTTTGACATATTCCTGCTTTTTAAAGCTCCAAAGGTAACCCTCGGCTGTCATCAAAACGAGTTGTGATGAAATGTGATTTTGCTGCGATATTGAGCGTTGAGTCACCTCTGATTCCGCATGTAGGTTATTGATGAATATCTTTCCTTCGGTACCTTAATTTCGTATTTGATTCCTATTTTGGGTGAAATACGGCTTACATGAGGTTTGTTCTGCATCTATATTCCTCTGATTAGCGTTTCTGGGAGGGTAATTATGCCCAGAAGAGAGCTTTCTTTTTTAAAGCACAAACTAGGATGATGTTTTTGTCCGCATGGGTTACGGTCTGGCTTTTTTTTTTGACAAACGTAGCTATTGTGCTTGCTTGAACAACACTTGCAACATCTGTGACTCTCTTTTAATGATTTTCGGCCACTGTTCTGGTCCGTCACTGTTCGACATGCCATTGAGCTGTGGTTGCTTCTGCTGCGAAATACACACCCTTCGCCAGATTGAGGTCGTGGAGTGTATTTTTCTCGCGACAGGGTGCCTTTGTTTTTGAGTACCTGGCAAGATCTGTTTTCGATTGCGAGGCTAAGTCTTTTCTCAATGTGCAGCTTAGCGGCGATCTCTTTCTAAAGATGATCCATCAAGTCTGCCGATGTTTGATTATTTTGAATGGCCCTGACATCAAAATGGGCTTGACAATATCATGAGGAAATTTTTCCAAGATGATTTCGCTCTATATTGGACCGCAAGTATTCAGCACGTCGTACCCTGCGGATATCATTTGGTCGATTAGGACGTAAACTTTGTCAAAGACGGCCGAGCAATCGTCTGCTGAATTAATGGCTGGTTTCCAGTCAACCGGCGTTTGAATTATCTGTGACCGATTTACGGGTTGGTTACAGTATTTTCCTACAATGTTTGTATTATCCATTCTTAATTATCTGGAATAAGTTGTATTCCTTTAATTGTGGTTTGAGCTCTACCTTTGAGGCTTACTTGAGCAAGAGAATTTTTTTCCACGTACATCTAGTTCGGTACTTTTATGGACAAGTGTCTCAAATACCGCCCCAAACCCGGGAAAGTTTTCTGAATTACTGTAAAATTTCGGCAGAGATGCTCGCGGAAGTTTTAATGGTGGAGCTTTCACGTTGGATTTGCTCCGAATTACACCTGCTTGATGAGGCACTGTTTTTTGCACTCTTCGTGCTGACTCTATCCTCTTCAGGGATGGTATGCACTTCCTGGCTATCTGTTCATTATTTTCATTTGCGCCTTCTGTGTAACGTAGCCCAGTTCGACTTTCATTCTGTCTCTGGCACACTTCGCTTAATCGAGCCGTGCCATTAACATGAAGCATAGGTCCTCAGATTCGGCCATTACTATGCTCAAGCCCGACTCCTCTTCCATCTGGTGTATTTCCGTCGCTAATTCTTTTCTTTCTGACGTTGTTTTGCAGTATCTGTACTCTTCTTTGATTACCGTGTGCCTTTTTTCTAATTTTTCTTGGCCACATTTAAGTTGTTGTAGGCCACTTTGCAATAGTGCTCTTGTGAACCTACATTTCCCATAAATATCCTCATCTATTACAGTAAAATCTGTTTTCGAGGTACTCCTTGTAACAGAGTACTAAATTTTTGAGCGTCTGAGCACTCAGGATTACGGGAATCTTGTGGAATAAATGTGCCATTTTTTTATTTTACTTGTTATAGTATTTCTTCTTTGAAACACTTACTTTGTTAGTAATACTCGAACTAAATCCAGTTGCTGTGTACGGGAGCTTTGGTCTGCTTAGTTTGCAAAAAACTGCTCCAGGTACTTGACGGAAGACTTGTGAATCAATTGATTCAAGGTCTCGGATTCGACCTTATATTATTGTGCTCAAAGAGCTGGTCTCGACTCCAGGCCTCAAAGTGGCAACACTTTGTCACGAGGGTATAATGGCTACTTTAGGCTGATGCACCAAGCTGTTGCGTTCGCTGAGTCTGAAGGTGCTGACTGACCTTTCATGCCACCTCGGGGTGGTTCAGTGGAATTGTGAAGGTAATGCGAGGTATATACTAGACGAGGCAAACGAAGAGATATTTGAACAATATTTATTGAGTACACGTAACGGAGAGCTTATCAGGAGCGAAATGACGCAGGAGAATGCTTGTCACCCAGGTGCCAAGGTGATCCGCCTCCATAGATGTGAGGTCGTGAGGGAGTCATTACCTGCGATGCGCAGGCGATGATACTTGGCCATCAACTTGACAATATCTTAACCAAAGGTGATATCTATTATCATAAAGGAAAGTGGCTAATACTTTAACGGTGAGTACTGTGGTTACAGCTCTGAGCTTTCTGTGATCTTGTCAAAGAGGTTTTTACTGAACACAAGGCATGGATAAACTTGCATGTTTTACAACTACAGAGGAGCCAATAGTAAATAAATCGCTATTGGCGTTGCACTCAAGGAAGGACGAAATCTGGGGATGAGTCACACGACCCATTTGGTCACAGAGAAGCAACAATGGTCGAAGAAGAAGTGGAAGGTACAACAAGGTCTTAAATTGCGCATTTTAGTTTTCCCGCGCAAAACACATTTCGTGTCGTGATTGCGGGTTTCCTCGCTTATTTGACACTTACATTCTAGCGGCATGCTCAGTTGAACGCTACTCTTCTCACTGACGTGGTGGGTGATCCTAGGTGTGGTGCAGTAACAACGGAATTGTCGCGTCGCGTCAAGAGGGACGTCGCGCGCGAAAGAATATAGCAGAATGTAGCAGCAAGTAAGAAATACAGGAACCAAGGAATTAATAATAGAATCATGAATAAAATAAGGATTGCATATCGATTTAGTTGTATGACGAACGCTAGAGCTGCAATAACGGCGAAAGAATGGTCCGCGACGGCCGTGCGCAGCGAATCGATTACAGGAAACCGTTCCTACTGCCCGTCTCCGGGTGGTCCTTCGTCCAAAATGTGACAGCTTTCTACTTTTGAATTGTATCTCTATCCGCTATGCATGCTGAAATACCAAGACCTTTTGAGGAGTTGCTTCAGGACTTCGCCCATGTGGACCGTTCATGTGGTGGGTCACACAATAGACTGGACGCCGCCGAACTTACTGATCTACCACCCCCCCCCCCCCCCTCCCCTTCCTTCATAGCTAGTTCTCTGAGAATCGAAGGAGATGTGAATGGATTGAGATCGCTTAATGTCTAGTAAAGTAAGTGTTACTCACATCTAAATACCAACTTCAGCAATGCTGGGCTTCTGGACGAGTCTACCGTATTCAACTCGAGGAAGACCTACTGGTGTCAGCAGCCTCAGGCTGTAAAATAGTAGATTACCGGATATTAACTGCTTTTAAAATGTGTTGCTGTCACAGAATCATGTGTTATCGCATACCTCTAAAGTGACCTTCTGATTTTTGCTGCAGTTTCTACAGTACACTGCACTGTGGATGACAGCCTCTTCTGTATGCTTCGTCTGTCCTGGCCTGAATTCATAAATTTGTTTCTCAACCTCACTATTCCATCTGGGGTCCCTCGACTGTATCCTTTCTAATTCCTTTCTCCTAATCTCCTCCTTTTTGACTTTTTGTTTTTTCGCCTCCATGTACACTTCCTCAAGTCATTGTCTTAGATCGTAGTGTTTACAGGCAATCTGTAGCGATGTCTTCCGAACCTATGTGACGAGAAGGTAGAAGATATCGATGAGCCGATATGATGAGCCTGTTGAGGGTGCTAACACGGTCGATGACGAGGAAATCGACGACTCGATTCTGCACCACGAAATGGAAGCTGGAAACGCATCTTAAGCTCAGTCAGATGCGCACTCCTACACTCAATCGGACAACGTATGTTTCGAAATCCGTGTTGTTTTCAATTCGTTGTTTTTCGTCTTCAATTCGCCGAAAGGTCGCCGAAGCTCTTTTTGAGTGTATAGCGTTCTAAATTTTCCTCTCAGTTCTTTTTATACCTGAAGGTAGGCCAGGCACTCCTTTTAGAAGCTTCCAACGGCTATATCAGGCTAAATTCAGGCTAAAAAACGCGATCTTCGATTCTTCAAGTATTCTGTCAAAACTGCTTGTCATTGTTCCACTTTTCAGATATGCTAGAAATCGCAAAGGAATTAGACGATATGTCCATGTCCACGTATATTGAAGAAAGGACAACTAGTGATGAGAACGTTTGTGATGAAATTGAGGTGCGACGAGTGAAAACCTAATGCTATAAAGAAACCGAGTGAGCTTCAGTTTCGATGTGTATCACCTTTGCCTCTGAATCATATTCAGTTACTTTGTCCTAGAGAACGTGTCCTTCAACTGTTTATGATACCGTCGATAGTTTGTTTCAGGGCAGCTATGCGCGAATTGACTAAAGTACGTTCTCGAGCAATTCGCCTTGAATGTAATTTGAAGGCACAGCGAGCTGATGGGCTTATGAACGGTTTGGATAACTACATGTATTCTTCATCAAGTCCTCGGTATTATCGCGTGATTACTTTCTTCTGCACTCTGCACTGATCTCTAGTTGGATGGAATATTTTTTATTATTTAATCGGATTTTCCCTTGTGTAAGCTCAATCGGTTGCTGTAAAAGTAAGGTTTTAGGTATCTTACGGCAAAAGAAGAAAAAGATGAGGAAGGATCATGCAGACGTGATCGAGCTAGAGGAAGTCATACATAGAGCGAAGAGGAGCGCATGATTGCATTTCATTGTAGAAATATTTTTTTCAAATATTTCCGTGTAGAACCTTAACTCTCACCAAGTTGCTGTTTTGAGATCTGCGTTACGGTAATGATTTCGATGCTGTTGCTGAAGTGTTCGGGACAAAGACTTCAGACAGAATCAAGATCCTCTACTCAGAAATGAAGCCAGATATTGATAGGGTGAATACTTTGAGATGTTAGACCTTCAAGCACATTAACCAGGCTGTAAATTTCCAAAGTCACATAAAAGGTTAGAAACACAAAGTTTTTCGAATTCTGCATAATATTTTACATACTTGATCGAGGTTTCTCGTTGAGATACTACTGCAACCAGCTTGCGAGCTTTATCAATGAAGATCGATTTCTGCAAATCATATACATATATCATCGAAAAAAAGCTAGCATTAATGTCCTTGGAGTGAGCTTTATAATCCATATGTTCGTTCCTTTTCTGAGACTGAACTGATCAGAGGCCGAGGAGCTCCGCAGCGTCTCCACCAACAATCCGGTCGAGCTATAAAGAGCATCTATTGTGCCTTTTACGAACAGACCAAGGCAGATACCATGACGAGCAGATAACAGTTATGACATAAGGAAATCCAGTGCACTGCCACGAGGCAGATCCCCAAGTCCGCGGGGTTTTGTGATAGGGTAGTACTCTGGACACAACCAGTTGGTTGTTACCCCGCCCGGTGTCCTTGCCGAAAACCCTTTCTCTTTGCAACACATATGTAACCCTTTCTTGTTGCCCTGGAAAATAGGATTTACTGCATAGATGGTAAAAGTTTTTTTTGGAGGCACCATTCGCATTGGGATAGTGAACAGTCGGGGAACGGTGACTTCTCCCCGAAAATCGCGTCGCGCACGCCGCACCCGATCACGCGCAGTCGCGCCCATGAAGGGATGGTTTTGAGTTCTCAGTGGAAGGATGCAGTAGTTGCCGCGGGACCATTGCCTGGAAATTTGGAGGGAAGTGCTGCCACCCCGAACGGTCACCGTTTCGGCGTAGTGAGGAGATGTTCTTGCTTATCAAAAAGTGAAAGGAATTCCATATGATGAATCCATTCTTTCTCCTCGTTGAGGCTTCGCACGGATCAGTTACCCTGCCCACAACTCGTTGAACACTACAGACCCCAAAAGCTAAGAGTTTGTTCAGCTATACTTAGCGCGCGGCGTAAGAACATGCAAATGAGCAAAACCGATCTTCTCCATAGCAGAACAGAGACCGAAGATACTGACGCATGCAACGTCATTTCCATTTTTGTAGTCTTTTCTGGAATCTTGCGGAACACGCGTCAGTAATAGAATGAACTACAACGCCAAAAACTGCTGTTCTGACAAGTCTGGATTCACATTGTCTTACCTGATTCGCTTACTTACTGTTACCATTGATTCACGATCACTAAACGCGTATATTCTAAAAAGGCATAGTTGTTATTTTACCCAAATGGAAATATCGATCCAGTTATACAAACATGGCCGTAAATAGTCAGTTACATGGTCTCTGAATGAAAACCACACTGAAAAAGAGACATTACCCTTTTGAGGTGAATGTATGAAGTATTTGCATAGAAGACTCTCAGCTACTTAGTTACCAATATACTATAAGGCAATGTTTCTCATTCTTCCATCGAAAAACTAAACACGTGTTGTAGCCAAGAATTCAGCGTTTGAAAAGTCTGTTATGGTATGTTACAGTAGCACGAAGCATTAGGATTGTTACCAAAAGTGCAAACAAAAATCTCTTTATTTCACAAAGTGACAAATGCATTTAGGCAGAGGTTATTGTACAGAAATTGGAAAGTCGTACACAAATGAAGTTAAGCTGTTCGATAAAATTAAGCGATCACATTATGAACTATTCACAGGTAAACAATTCCAGAATAATGAATAAATTCTCTAGGCGAGATCTTACTGATGACAATCCATTTAGAAGCAGCTGATTTAAATCTCTCAACGAAAAAGTAGGTAGAGAATTCACAAGTGTAAGGAAGATGTACGAAATCAATGGTCGTGTTCTGTTACTGCTCTTGTTTCTTTGCCGAACCGATTTTGGTCATGCTCATCTAAAAAGAGAAAGGGCAATTATATCAGTCTCTACACCCTGATTGGCTAATACGGGAAGCCATCTGTCATTAGGCCTTCGAAATTGCACGGTTATCCATGGAGAACTATCCTAAAAAATCCCCGTAAACGGTATGAAGTCATCACTCACCTGTTGTGCGAACTCCAAGCTTCTTTTGGTTTCTGCGATTTGAGCCGCAGAAGGGTTCAATGCAACGATGACCATCGTCTTGGAATTACCAGCTCCCAGGCTATCGCGCAGAATCATAGTCAGTTTCGAATTACGGTAAGGTATATGAGGGTTCTGAAATTTTACTGCAGGTTGATTATCGGTTAATCGTTTCATGAGGAACCGAATTTAAAATCATGGCAAATGATACATGAGGCTCAGGATCGCTTATTCTACATAACAACAAAAACTTTTAACGAATTAATTCTTCTGTTCAAAGTTTTGACATCATTGCCTCTTAGAAGATTAACTAGCGTCACCGTCACCTTGTTCAGTTGACTTCGAATGCAGTTCTGCAAATTAGACAGCGCTGAGTTTATGTGCGTCATTTCTTTGAAACGATCACCCTCAGCGCCAGACTCCTTTACCCGTTCTGAGCCTGCGAGATCCACCAAATGCAAACAAGCATGTCGTGACGCTCCTGACAGCAAAAATGAGTTAGCGTAATAGATACAGCAATAAACCACACAATATAGAACTACTACCTGACGTTTTGTTATATCCTTGTATAGCGAGTTCGAATACTGCATGACTCCTGCTCGACTGCTCGTTACACTTTGTAGCCGCTGTCGATCTGGTCCTGTCCGCTATTACTAGAAGGTTTTCAATCTAAATGAATCATAAATTCTTCCATGATCACCGAAGAAAAGGGTACAGACAATTAGCAGCTTACATCATCTGCAGCAGTGATGTCGCAATATTTCAAGCCACTAATCGAAGTGTTGCCCGATCCCATCTTGATGTCCAGCTTTTTTCGTTCGGCAAGTAGATCATACACCTCCTCGTTGTAAACTTCGAGGAATGAGGCTTTGAACTCAAACTGAAAACAGCCGACAGCTAATCTATGATATTAGTCTTTAGCGTTTTCGATGTTTGAAACCAAAATAGTTGAGGCACAACACCTCCCAATCCAGATCCGCCAACTTGTCTCTTGAATTAAACAGGAACTTGACAGCTCGTGGAATGATTCCCTCAGATTCGCCCTCACCTGTAAAAAAGGAAAAGGACGTGAAAGATCCATTCAAAATTGACATTTTGATGGCTATTCCTCAAAACGATCCGAAAGGCCAACAGAACAACGCAGAAGAATGTTTTTAGAAAGCATCACGCTCTGACGTGGTTCCGAAAAATAATTAAGAGCTGGCCATCTGAGAATCGATTCAAGATTGAGCTACAGGTGCATGCATTCTATTACTCCTCGCCAGTGTTCCAATAATATTTAAGCAGTGGCCAATTACAATAATCTAACCTTAAACGCCATGTCGATGGGTAAAAACTCAATGAAACAAAAGAAAGGAAATTGTTGGAACTAATTTAGTATCACTGATAAAAACATATAGACAAACTTACCTCCTCTCATGGTGTGTGTTTTCCCGCTTCCTGTTTGCCCGTAAGCTATGATAGAAACATTATAACCATGAAGGCAAGACTGCAAGAGAAAAATGAAAGCCAACTTTGAAATAGCTCACAAAAACGAGACACACATCATACCAATATTAGCTCCTCCACGTCGTTGAATACGCGTGCTTGACTCATATTCGGACCAAACACACGCTGGAACTCGAAACTCTGAGATCCTTTGCTCTGGAATAAAAACACAATAAGAAGCCAATACTATTACGGAGTCCTTCGAAATGACTACACCCTCACCTGGTCTAGTTTTATCGAGGACACTCCAGGATACGAAAGATGGTTAGTTGGCACATCGAGTTCCTTACCCAGTGGGGGTCGGACACGAACAGCAACACGTATTTGGCCCTTCAAAATCAATTTGTTGGAAATGTTGCTGCGGAAATGTTGCCTAGAGAGCTTGTGCTCCTTTTCCAAGAAAAGATGTCCTAGAAATATCTTCATTTCGTTTAAAAACCCCGAAAACTTCTAAACCCCACAAACAGTTTAATCACAATTTTTTGCTCACATCTAACCTTAATGAGTTTTTACATATTTTCAGGCAATCAAAAAAGATAAGTCGATGATCGATAGAACTTCGAATGCTCGGTCATTTTTATGAACCTATCGTTCGAGAACCCAACTCCAAGAATTCTTTTTCTGAACCTAGAAGTGGACGGCGGAAGCCGAAATGGAAGAATGGGCCGAATATAAGTCGAAAACGGAAGCCGAAATGGAAGAATGGGCCGAATATAAGCCGAAAGTATGAACATCAGTCAGATTCATCTCCAACGCGCGATCGAATGCTGGGCGATGCTCGGAATTTTCCTACACCAATGCAAGTCCGGAATACAGTTCGCGCTCCCGAGACCCCTTAACGAACAAAGTTCAAGGTTGTCGGTGTGAACCACGGGCAAAAGGGAGAATTCTTAGCGAAAGCGCTGAGCAAAAGGAAAGCTATTAGCAAGCTTAATACTTGACAGTTTATCGGAAAAAAACTCTGACGTGATTTTGCAGTTGTTGCTAAACAAAAAAAAAAAAAATAATGAGCACACCAATAGCAAAAATTCACAGCAATTCGGGAATTCATACCTTCAAGTCAACTACAGCATTATGTAGGAGCCGCATCTGCTCATCCTTTTCTCGGAGCTCGTCACGCTTCGCAGCTAACTGCGACGTTAAGCGACCAATATCCTCCATCCGTTCGCACAGCTCAGTTTTCAGGTGCGCATTTTCAGTTTCTTTCTTAACACTTCATAATCAAGGAAAAAAAAAAGAAAATATGTTTCCAAGACAACGCCTATACCATCAGTCGCACGCCCTTCTCTGCTTCTAAAGCCATCTGAATGGAATTTAGTTGGGTATCCTTCATTGCCATAGTTTGCTTGAAGCTCTCCAAGGAACTCTGTAGTAATTGTTTGAAGCGGTGGGGTTACTGGATGACTATGTTCTATAAAACAAACCTGGAGCAATTCCATATTTTGGTCCTTCAACGCCATCTGACTCTGAAATAAATTCCTACAGTAAAGCAATAGTGAAGATAGTGAACCCCTTGAAAACTGATCTACCTTGGTGAATTCTGATTCAGCTTTGTACTTTTCCTTCTCTCCCTCAAGCTGAGTGATTCTTGCTTTCAATTCCGCCACCTCAGCGCTTACACGTTGAATCGAAGACGATCGTCGACCTTAGAAATGTTGGAAATACGCTCCCACACAGCTATCTCTACAGGTTAGAGCAAAGACTGACTGATTGCAGTGGATTGATTCTGGGAATTTCCTGGACGAGTGGTCGTCGATGCACCCACTCGACGAGTAGAGGCAGCTGTGGTTTGTAGATAGCGCGGTTGATTCCCCGCTACTGCTAACGTCGCCCTTCCTGTTCTCATTGAATCCGGTAGTGGCTTTGTAACTTAAAACGAACGAAAATCACTCAGCCACAGTGTTCAAACGCAGGCATCTCTCACGGTCCAAACGGTAAGCAGCCCCTCACCTGAATGATGAGGGGTGGCCGAAGAAGATAACGCCAGTTTTTTCGCTGGCGTGCATGTCGTTCTGCTCAAGTTCCCTATACTTCTCCGTTTGAGATTGCGAGCCGCTTGAATAGTGGCAGACGCTGAAGGAAGAGCTAAAAAAGAATGTTCAGTATCTCGTATGACAGGCTTGAGGAAGTTGTGACTTTTCTTAGTTATTCCTACAAAAGCAGAGGTTTATATAGTGATCGGGAAAACTTGATGATTCTATTCGAATAGAAGCGCATAAAGTTATTCCTCCAAGTTCTTCGATTGTGATCGATGAAAGCTTGTACAAGCCCATTTCAAACTCGCCCCAAAAAAGAGGCGTCAAGACACCTATCGTTTTTTTACTTTCTTTTTTCAAACAACCTTCGGCAAAGCTGTGAATGAAGCGATATAAAAAGGGCTCTATTTAACATATCCACGGCGTTTTTTGACTTTTTTTCTTCAGCATCAAAGTAAATTCAATAATAAGATGTCTAAGGGTGAGATCAGTATTCTTTCGTCTCATCATGACCTGTGCCTTTGAAAACAGGAAATTGTAGTAAAACAATAAACTGATTTAATGAAGAAGGTCTTTAGATAAACTACAGAATGTACATAATTTACCTCTTGGAGCCGGCCTTGGTATGTTCGACCGCGAAGAGCTTAGTACTCTCGGTCTAGAGGAGCTCTGGTCACCTTCCATTTTGACGAGTGGTTGAACTTAGTACACCTATAAACTGATCATTTTTACCTTCGAGATGGTTTTATAAGGAGAGCTTTCTCGAGCGCAAAGAGAGTTACACATCTGCTCTTCCAGTGCGAGCATGGGCAAACGGTTGCACACTTCAAAAGACATCCAGTCAATAGGCTAGATGCTATTGCCCTTATGAAAACAGCTACAAGAAAAACAAGACTCACTGTAAAGGTATTTGGGGGTTGAGGGTATCACTCTTCTCTAATACTGCGCTAGAGGGTTAATAAGGAAGGATTGCCATTTATGTTAGCAAACTACCGCTCGAAGTTTCGGAAAAAGAGAAACACTGGTTAACGGAATGTTCACTTCTTTCCCCATACCCATCTTCTAGCACGAAGTAATCAACTTGCCCACCCGATGCTCCTCCCCATTCAAGAACCGCAAAGCTGGTCAACCCTCCTTTGCGATTTAGCCCCTAGTGTTGATAGAAGAGGTGCCCCCAACTTCATTTCCAACCGACAATCTTATAAGATCTTCGGCGTTGATCAGTCTTGTCTGGCACTCGACATCCATTCAGAATCGTAGTGGAGTATTGAATGCGCATGTGGCCTATGTAATGACTTGCGATGGCCAGCCAACGTAAAAGACAGTGCTTTTATCATCACAGACGTGTGGCACCAATTAACTGACCCAGCAGGATTGGATGGCTTGGCCTGAGCGAGTCGATACGTTATTCGATCCTCGGACCATGTGCGCATGATAGTGCGGCACTTAGCACTTCTCAAACTTCACCGACCATAAGTGGAAAGACTACTAAATTGGCGATCCTATCCTTCTGTGGTCAGTCCCAGAAATTGAATGGAACTCGAGTTCATTTGATGGTAGAGGCAGCAATAGGTGATATGGACCGATCAATATTGATCAAAACCGATTTGAGCGTTACAGATCGCTAAGTCCACCATTACCTTCATTCGAAGGAGTTCGCATGTGTTTGACCGTATGTTCGAAACATTTCCAAATTCGAAGGGACACACACGATGAGGTAAGAACATTGATGATAAGTGGTAGAAGAATATCACAACTGATAACGACCGATAATGGCATTAGAAGATAAGAGCCACAGGAAGCCTTACGCTCATCGCATTAACAGATAAGCCTTAACACATGGGATGCGTGGCGTGACGGGAGCGTAGTCGTTCGTGACAGAAGAATCAACTGGTAAGGACTGTTGCTAGGAAGATTTAAGGGCTATCATACTACCGTTGAGAAAAACACCTTCTGCGCAGAAAGGACCACACGGTATTGGTAGATCACCGCGGTGCTCCTTCTATCTAAAGGGTTAGGTAAAATACTCTATTCTCTGGTTTATAAGACGTCCCTAAGCACCATGCTCGCGAAAAATTAGAGAGATTTTAACGTCCCGTGAGTGTGTGACACCGTAACCCCCTCGTACCCACCACCACTCCCGTGAGCTTCACCCGGGGTTACTTTCCTTTGCGTCGTTTATGTGATGGGTGTTTTGGAGGCACTTCAGCGTGTGTTTGAATTACTGTATCACATATTCACGGGGCGGTTTAATCCGTCTTGTCGCGAAAAAGGGCTACTTCTAGCGCTTAATTCGGGAAAGAGCGGTTTCCTGACCATACATTTTCACCGGATTGTCGGACTGATAAGATCGAATAGTATATGGAATAAAATTATCTTCACATCTCTTCAATCGTATTATTACCACTATGGTTAAACAATATAAAGTCAAAACATTTACATTAACGACAAAGCTTACTTGTCAACTAACTTGATGATATCTCAACCTACGGTAATATCTATACACATGAGAAAATAATGGATAATCACCACTTAAATGGTGAATATTGCGGCTATCACACGCCAAGAAGACCGCAGAACACCTTTGGGAGATTTTATTGAGAAAAAGCCATGGAGCCACGCAATCTGGGGATGAGTCACACAACCCATCTGGTCACAAAGAAACAAGAATGGCCGAAGAAGAAATGAAAGGCGCAGCAAGGCCCCAAATTGCGCATTTTAGTTTCCCGCGCAAAACACATTTTGTGTCGTGATTGCGGGTTACGTCGCCAATTTGACGCTTACTTTCAGCGGCATGCTGAACTGAATGCTACACTTCCCACTGACGTGATGGGTGGTCTTTCGTCCAGAATGTGGAAGCTTTCTTCTTTTAAATTGTGTCTCTATACGCTATGCATGCGGTAATACCAACATCTTCTGAGAAATTGCTTCAGGACTTCGCCCATGTTGGCCGTTCATATGGACGTCAC